GCTCTGTTCACTGACCACTGTGTCCGTCAGCCTTCAAATAGCCTCTACCACTTAGCATAGGAAGGGGCTAGAGATCTTCCTGGAGAGACTGCCATGGGCCATTAACTATGGCAGGTTCTCTGTGCATGTTGCAATCATGGGCTAAGTGTTTAATAATTAAATGCTTTAATGGGGTTTGACTTGGGTCCATCTGACTTCTCAAAACACTAGCTCAAGTCCTTTCTCCTCCATTGAACTTCTCAGATCAGAAAAGCCCTCTCTGGTCACTCCTTTTACCAAAGCACTAGAACACACCTGGTTAGTACAAGTTATGTGGTTGACATCATTCTCAGCTAAATGTTACACAACTTTCCTCTCCCTTTGCGTGTAAGCACATGTGTTCAGCCCTCACTTTATCTTCATCCCCAGCACATAGCCCGATGTGGAGCACATTGCCCTTGTTAAATGTTGACTTAAGGGACTCCTGCATGTCCTTCAAGCCTTTTTTCGTTCTTGAGACAAGGGCTCTTGCTCTGTCACCCAGGCTACAGTGGAATCATTATCATAAGCTCACTGCAACCTCAAGCCCTTGGGCTTATACAAAGCTCCCGCCTCATCCTTCCAAGTAGCTGGGACTACAGGTGCACACACTACCACGTGCAGCCAATTTTCCCATTTTTTGTAGAGATGGGATCTTACTTAGGCAGGTCTCAAAGTCCTGGCTTCAAGCTATCCTCCCACCTTGGCTTTCCAAAATGCTAGGGTTACAAGCATGAACTACCACACCCGGCTTTTTGAGACAGGGTTTCAGTCTGCTGCCCAGGTTAGAGTACAGCAGTGTCATGACCAAACACCTTTTCTACTGTGCTCAATCATAAAGTCCAAGTGTATAAAAGCCTCAACAAGAAGGGGCAAGCTCATTTCCCACTCAACACAAAAGGAATGGAGTCTGCTCTTTGGTGACCGTTCCCAGGCTGACCACCCTCGGTAGAAGTGCTGCCAAGGAGGGGATGGCCTGGCTGGGATAGATGAAGACTTCCGAGGATGGGACAGAGAAGACTCAGGCCAGAGAAAGTATACTGATAAAGACATTCCTTAGAAACTGTGGGTACCCACTATTGCTCCTTCCAAAGAATTCTGGAGTGGAAGCTACTCAGACTGACCTAGCCCAACCTTCTCATTTTATCCAGGAGAAAATGGGACCCAGGACTAAATGTTTCTCCAAAGGTCAGAGGTGAAATAGGGCTTCTGATTTTATGGGTAAGATACATCCCCTTCAGTTCCCTGTGATTTATTGCTTTCATGAGGTGTGTATGTGGGGGTGGGGGGAGTAGTCAATACTGCCCTCGGGTAAAGTCAGGGCCACCACAGATAGCTTGTTAACAGGGGACCCTCCTTCAGGCCTATCTTGACCTTGCTTTCTCCTGAAGTCTAGTCCCTTCCCTACAAGTCCTATATGAACAAAAGCTTATTGCCATCTGCGAGACACTTAAAACCTAATATCATTCAAATTCTATCTTCAGGACTTCCTTATATTCCCATCCACTCAGAACTGGTTTTAAAAATCCCAGAGACACCATTTTACTCATGCTTATTTTTAGCACCTACTATGTGCCAGAGATAGGAGCCAAGGATGAACAGTGCTAAATCCCTGCACAGAGGCCTCAGCCAGCCCTTTGAGGTATTGCTCAGCAGCTATTGTATTACACTTATTTGCTCTTGCTCACATTTGCCCTACACGATTCTAATCTTCAAGTTTTTTCTCAGAATTCCTCTGAGATTGATCATCTCAGTCTAAGTAAATTTAAGTCAATTTGATACTATGGTTTCTATTCAGATCATATAACTCTTTCACCTTTTAAAAGATGATTCAAGGGCGGTGCCTGTGGCTCAAGAAGTAGGGTGCCGGCCCCATTTACCAGAGGTGGCGGGTTCAAACCCAGCCCCAGACAAAAACTGCAAAAAATAAAATAAAATAAGTTGATTTAAGGCACATAAAAGCTGCATCATCATTTCTAACTCAAGAGTATACACTTAGAGCACACATGAGCTTGTAGCTGAAAACAGTAATCATTTATACTACGTATACAAGTACTAAACACACAGTGTTCCATGTGTGCTTTCTCCACATACACACACTCATTTAATCCTGAGAGGTAAGCTGAGTGGGCTATTATTATTTTCATAAATAGATTTGGTAAAACCCAAATCAAGATAAAGCCAGAGCTGTGGAGGTGCGTGCATTAGCAACACGTGGCCCCACTGCAGGGTTAGCAGTCGTCTTTTGCTGTAAGTGCTTGGCTTCTAAGAGCTTTTATACAGATGTCTGAGAAGCAAAAAATCATATGTAATTAAGGTTATTTCCCAAATAGCATAGGAAAGCTGCCAGAGGCTTCCCCTCAAATGAGAGGAAATGCACTTACAGTGGTATTACAGCCTCCGGATATGAGATGAAGTAACTGCCAACTTTAATCACCCGAGTCAAATGCTACTCCAGAAAATAATTAAAGTTTCCCTTTAATCATGTCACAGGAGTTGCTACAGCAGCACAGATAGTTTTATTAACACTCTGATTTTTGAGTCACAGCTTCAATGGCAGGAAAGTATCAGGACACACTCTCACCTGTAACTACTAGCTTATCTCCAACTAGGATCTCAAGATTCCCTCTAAACTGTTCTCTGGAAACACCATTTGTGCCTTAATTCTGCCTTTTTAACAGGGACACAGAACAAAAAAATGCCTGTTTGCAAATAAACATCTGAAAGAATATAGTAACAGCTGATCTGGGCTGAGGCATCAAAACAAAGCAGTGATTGTGGAAGAAGACAATGCAAACTCGGGAGCAAGAAACTAGAGGGCAGAGAGCTCGCAGTAATGTGTGTGCTGGGTATTTCCACCAGCCCAAAGGCCTCATCTGGAATAAATATAAACTAGGTGTGCCTCTATGGCTTGATAATTTCTTATCTGAATAGAAAGAAGTCACTGCCACCAACAGCACTGTGCAGTTTTATTAACCATTCAAGTCCAGTAGCATCTGGTAAGACTGGGACAGAAGTGGGATTGAAAAGTGAACAGATATTCAGCATCTACAGTTCAAAAGAAGCCACTACATACTCTTTTCACAAATGTTTTCACAGAGCCAATACAGTACTAGCCATTAACCCAGTACACCAAGTGTACTGAAGTAGAAAAGATGCAACAAGAAAAATAGCTACATTAGAAAGACCAACACTTTAGAAAAAGAGTAAAACACTTTCAGTTTCTCCCCTTTAGCCCCTAAAACAACATCTTACAGCCTGGATCTACCTATACAGTCCTACGTCAGCTTCTAGAATATTTTTCGGGAGGGAAAAAATAAAATGACACTGGCCAGTACAGTCTTTGGATATTTAGGAAGGGGAAGGGGAGAAAGTCAGTTCTCAGAACAAATTAGTCAGCTTCAGTCTCATCAGCAGGATCTTTGGATTCTTTGTTCTTCCGCACTTCTTCAATGTGCTTATCCTGGAAAGGAATGGTAAGTACTGTCAGTCAAATAAAAAAGCCTATCAAGTCAGGCTCCCCCACCCTCAAAGAGGCCTAACAAAGCCTCAGTACATATATTATAGCTCATGGAAACTCTAAAGGTAAGAGTTTTAAGACATCATCTTCAAACCTCTTGGGTCCTTTGTGGAACCTAACATCTAAGCTGCCGACTGATCTTCCAGGGAATGCAGTTTTGCTGGGAATTAATGAATATTCCATCTTAAAATAAAACACCTCTCATTTAACACGTCAAGCCGATTCATTGGTGCCTCAAACCACAAGCTCTTAACCCCTTTACCAACCAAGAAACCAACCTTCTCTCGCAAACGCTCCAGTTTGGCAGCCATTTGTGCCTCACGGTTCTCCTTGTTAGCTTCCATTTTATGGGTCAGTTTCTCTTCCGCCATTTTACTGAAGTTGTTGTTCTCTTCTATTGCTTTCTGAAGCACTTCTTTCTCGTGCTCTCTTTTCTCAGCAAGCTGCTTCAAGACCTCAGCTTCATGAGACTGAAAAAAATTTACTAGGCTAGGCTTTCTGAAATGTATTTAGTATTAATTAAAATTACAAGAGTTACTGGGGGAATTGAAAAGAGGAAGAAAATACAGCCCCTTTTAATATACTGATGTTAGGACCTGAATTATCCCTATCATAAAATACTGTGAAAATCATACTCTTTTTTCTACTACTTGTATTTGCTTTGGAAAACTGCCTATATTTGTTCAGAGATCTCTTGTCCAACTATTCCTTAGGGAAATCCTAAGATTTCCTGCTTATTGGTATCTGGATGACTTGAGTAATAAGCACTTGGGAATGGTACT